TGCAAGAACATTCAGTGTTCTTAACTGCTGAGCCATCTCTCCAGCCCCAAAGGAATAGGATTTAAAACAGTCACCCGACTCATTATCTTCTACTCTGCTGTTAATATGAAAAACACGGTCCACAACTGAGCAATACAACCTATAGACATAATAAAAGTTTACTTTTGGCTTTTTCACTGGTTATTTACTTAACTCTGAATGTGGTCCAGACCTACATGGTTGCCTTCCTTCATCTTCCAAGCTGCATCAGAATCAAAAATGGGAGAAAGCACATGAAGGACAGATGTTCTCTGTGTGGCTGGACGGACCTATAACATCTCAGTTGTCAAGGACCATATTTCTATTTCTTTCTTTTCCCTCTTCCTGTCCTCCACCCCACCCCACCCCTTGGTGTTTTGAGAGAGTGCCTCAGTGTATTGCTCAGATTGGTCTCACAATGTACCATGTGACCTCCAACCAGTGATCATCCAGCCTCCCAGACAGGGATTACAGCAGTGCACACTAAACCCAGCCACATTCTATAATGTATGGAATATGGAGCAGAGATGGCAATTCTCAAAGAAGGAAAAAAGCAAATGCCATAAAGAAGAACAGAGTACAAATGAGAAGGAGATTCCTGATGGCTCCAGGTTAGTTGCAGCCCCTTCATAAAGCCTAGACTTCTGCTCTGGGAGCCCAGGAGACACTATAACCTTAAAATATCAGATTCTGCCTACCACTTGGTACACCATCAGGATCTACAGGAACTAACTATAGTTTCTTTTTTGGTCTTTTTGAGACAGGGTCTCCCTGTAGCCCCAGCTGACCTGGAACTTCATATGCAGACCAGGATGGCCTTGAACTCACAGAGATCCACCTGTTTCTGCTAGGCATGAGCCACCACACCCAGCCCTCGTTTCTTTTTTTAAAGAAAATATTATTGTTGTTGCCTGTGTACATACTATATGTGTGGGTGCTGCAGTGTATGTATGGAGGTCAGAGGGCAACTTTGTGGAGTTTGCTGTCCTACCTTTATGTGGGTTCTAGGGACTGAACTCAGGTTGCCAAGATTTAGAAGCAAGAAACTTTACCTGCTGAGCTGTCTTAAGGCCCTAATCTCTTGTTAAGCAGTCCCAAGTATTCACAAGGATGGAAATGTGTGACTTTTTTTCTTGGTGGTCCTCCACGAAATAAGCAGAAAGCTGACCTATCTTTCTAAATGGAATGAAATCCATTCTCTCTTGTAATTTGCAAAAGGACACACTGATTCCTTTTAACAAATCTAAGAAAAATGATGAGATCTTGAACATTTCTGTTTTATCATTCTGAGAATTATTTTCTCATTCTTCATCATGTATCCCAGCTGTTCTTTCTTTTTCTTTTTTTTTTTTTTTTTTTTTTTTTTTACCCCCCGCTTTCCTGGAAACCAATATGTAGAAACCCGGCTGGCCTTGAACTCACAGTGTTTTATTTATTATTTTAATTTTATGTGCATGCGTGTATTGCCTGCATGTAGGTAAGTACACCCGTGTCATGCAATGCCTGCAGAGGACAGAAGAAGCTGTCGGATCCCCTAGAACTGGAGTTACAGACAGTTGTTAGCTGCCATGTGGGTGCTGGGATTCAAACCCGGAAACCGGGGTCTTCTGCAAGAACAACCAGTGTTCTTAATCGCTGAGCCATCTCTCCAGCTCAATATCCCAGCTGTTCTTTAAAAAAATACTAAAATAAGGAAGTAGAAGACCTGTGGATGATGCAACAGCCAAATAACTAGTTTTGCCCTACTCAGCACACGCTATCATCCTCTAAAAAGGAAGCAATGTCTTCTAGTCTCTGTCCTCTTCAGTTGTTGCTTTCACTGAGAATTTGTCACCTTTTTTTTTTAAAGACAGGGTCTCACTTTGCAGTCCTGGCTGGCCTATAACTCCCTGTATAGATCTGGCTGGCCTGGAACTCATAGAGATCTACCTGCCTCTGCCTCTACCTTCCACGTGCTGGGATTAAAGGCGTGCACCATCACACCCAGTGAATTTTTCACTTTTTGACAAAGAAAACATTTTATAATCATTAGATATCTCAGTGTAGAGACATAGCAGCACTTCAGAGTGAATGGTTATGGTGAAGCCAGCTGCAGAAGCAACCCTCCAGTTTTCAGGCGGCAGTTCCTTGTTTTTTCAAACTCAAGAACTGATGAACACTGTATTTCTAAGAAGAGAAAAGAAATATGGTTTTCACATGAATCAGTCATTGAACAGGAAAATATTTTATTCTGCAATACTTTAACAAGGCCCTGAACCATTCTGTTTCGCAAAAATGTGTATCAGAGTATTCTTTAGTTATGTAAGGTATGTACATCAGCGTACTGATATAGTTCCCATGTGGACAAATGTTGAAGTACATAAGAATGTAACTGGGGGCCAGGCATGGTAGCACATGCCTTTAATTCCAGCACTTGGGAGTCAGAAGCAGGTGGTTCTTTGTGAGATCAAGGCCAGCCTGGTCTACCTATTAAGTTCCAAGCCAGCAAGGCCTACACAGTGAGACCTGGAAAGGAAATAGGAGAAAAGAGATGACAGAAGTGAAAAAAAACTCCATTTGATTGGATTCTTCATTCTAACTGCTACTTAAAAATCTAAGCAAAATACTTGGTAGTCAGAGCAAGGATCATACCTATTTTACCTTCAACAACTCATGAGATGGCAAAGTTCTCAAAAGCATCAGTTTTGAAGAAATGTGAATAAAAGCAGAAATAGGGCTTGGAAGAGGGCTCAGTGGGTAGAGTTCTTGCCATGCTAAGTCACTCATCACCTTGGGGCTACAGAGATGGCTCAGCAGTTAAGAGCACATATCATTCTTGTAGAGGACCCAGTACCCATGTTGGGCAGCTCACAACCACCTGTAACTCCAGCTCCAGGGAAATCTGACACTTCTGGTCCTTGAAGGTACTCATGTGTACATACCCACATATACACATAATTAAAAATAATAAAATAAATCTTAAGGCGGCAGGTAAGCCTCAGGTCCCAGTGATAGCCCTGTCTCAAAAAACCAAGTGGATGGCTCCTAAGGAAGGACACCTGAGGTTGACTTCCGACCTCCACATGTACATGCACACACATGCACCTGTACATACATGAACATACACAAAGAAAGAAAGGAAGGAAGGGAGGGAGGGAGAGAGGGAGGGGGGAAGGGGAAGAGGAGGAGGGAAATAGAGAGAGAAGGCGGGAGAGAGGGAAGGACAAAGAACAGTAGTAATGATAACCAATAATCTATTTAGGATGTAGCCAAAATTTATAATCAATATTTACAAGGTAAATGTAAGAATCCACTGGAGTTTTTCAATTCCCACTTATATATGAGTTAATAAGTAATTAATTCAAAGAACATTGCCTACTTTGAGTCTGTTTTGAAACAAAGTCTTGCTACCTTGCCCAGACTGGCCTGAAGCTCAGGGTCCAAGTGATCCTTCTGCTATAATGTAACTGAGCACAGCTGAGACTGCAGACATGTACCACCATACCCAGCTTTACATGCTTTCAAAACCAAAAAAATATGGAATTAAAATTGGGGTTTGCTATATTGATACATTATTAAAACTTCTAGTGAAGTTTTTCACCATCATTTTCCTCATATTTTTACAAATTATTTGCAAAATGATAATATAAAAAGTCTAAAGAGTCTACTAGACAGAAATGATAAATGTGATGACTATTTCTTTGGCAAAAGAGGAAAAGTTGGCTTACGCTGAGTTCCTATTATTTGCAACTAAGGAATCCTAACTAGAGTTGGGCATGGTGGTATACACCTATAACTCCAGCACTCAGCAGACTGCTATGAGTTTGAGGCCAGCCTGGGCTACACAGTGAGAAAGCCCCTATCTCAAAAACAAACAGGGCTAGGGAGGTGGCTCAGTGCTTGCTTGCCACATATCCACAAGGACCTGCGCTAAGAATGCCAGAATGCGTGTAAAGCCAGGCACAGTCGTGCACATCTGTAATCCCAGTGCTCCTATTCTGAGATCCTTAAACAGAATTTCTGGAAGCTTGTCGGCCAGCTAGCCTTGCATACACAGCAGCAAACAAGAGACCCTGCCTCAAACAAGGTGGAAGGCAAGGACCAACAACTGAGGTTGTCCTCTGACCTCATGTGTGCCGTGGCATGCACAGGCCTGTACTCACACACATAAAACAAAGGGAAAAAATGAAAAGAATACTAAGAAATTCAGTTAACTGCACACAGCAAGCAAATCTCATCTCCTCTGGAAAACACACTACCTTCCTTCCATACTAGAACTTTGTAAATAGAATACTCAGCCTCATCTTGGTAATCTTGGACACCTGTGAGTTTGGACTAGTGACAGACTGTAACATCACATGAGTTAGAGCAGGACCAGGACCACAGCCTCTGAGGCAAGAACCACTCATACTGATACTTCATAGGAAGCACAGCCCTTGCTTTCCTCTGATGCTTGAGTAGCTCCAGCTGCTCCAGCTACTCACGCTGTTTAAGTTCACTTAGATAAGTACCAAATGAGGAAATTGGCTTGCAATGTGGGGATGTGTTTTACAAAAAATAAGTATTTCTAAACTCTAGAATCATATTTGCCATTGATGATAACACCAGAAGAGGCATTAAAAGTCTTGAGATCAGGGACTGGAGAGATGGCTCAGCGGTTAAGAGTACTGACTGCTCTTGCAGTGGGCCCAGGTTCGATTCCAAGCACACACATGGTGGCTACGAACTGTCCTTAACTCCAGTTCCAGGGGAATCCGAAGCCCTCTTCTGACCTCTGAGGCACTGCACGACACCAATGCACTCACACATGCAAGCAACATACTCATACACATAAAAATTAAAACAATAAATAAAATGTTTAAAAAAAAAGTCCTGAGATCAACAGAAGGCTAGACTCAGTACAGAGCAGACACTAGGCAAGTAGGTCAATCTTATTTATTTTCCTCCCAAATGATATTGGCAAATTCACCTAAGGCCACACAAACACTCCTGCTGTTTAACTTTTCTGAATGACTCAACACCATCGAGTACTTCCTCAAGGATGTTCTACCTCAGTCTTACTAAGAAACTATGAAGTTCATCTGCCACCACAGCACTTGTTTTCCTTATTAAGTAACTTCTGCTAAGGTCTCTAGTGCCAGCACACCACTGTCTTCTATAGGTGGATACTGATGAGCACTTCTCTTACCAAACACTTCCACCTTTAGATTCCACAACCTCACCTAGATATTCTAGACCAGAATTCAACAAGGTTTGTCAGCAGATACTTTTTTATAAACTAAATTCAGTGTTCCTGTTTTAGGGACTTAAAAGAGAAAAAACATGCTTACCACAGTCCTCTAAGAATATCTCTCGCTATAATACTAAGTGGTCTCTTACTGTTCTTATCCCAAGGCTAAATTGTTGAGCTTCATTAGTCCTTTACAATAGCTCCCACTCTGAAATCCTTTTAATTTCTTTAGGGTTTTCCTCTGAACTTTTTCCATGTTTTTTTCATCCCTATTAAGTATAATATAATGTCCAGAATTAGTCACAACTAGACATTGACTTGTAATGAACAAAACAGTAAAATTAGCTTATTATTTCTATATTCTTAACGTCTTTGCTCCAAATAGTATTATGTTAATGTTAGAAAATTTAAAATCTCTAAGCAAAATTCTATTTTTCATACTATATTTAAATGTATTACTTAGCTGGGTATGGTGGCTCAAGCCTATAATCCCGGCACTCAGGAGGCTGAGGCAAGAGGATCACAGATTAATGGTCAGTCTGGACCACATTAGAAACCTTATCTTGGGACTGGAGAGATGGCTCAGTGGTTAAGAACACTGACTGTTCTTGCAGAAGACCTGGGTTCGAATCCCAGCACCTACGTGGCAGATAACAACTGTCCGTAACTCCAGTTCCAGGGGATCTGACAGTCTCTTCTGTCTTCCATGGGCATTGCACGACATGGGTGCACTTATGTGCATGCAGGCAATACATGCATACACATTAAAATAAAATAAAAAAAAATCTTATCTTGAAAAACAAACCAAAACGAACAGATGTACTCCTACAATGTAGCACACTGCTGGAAAATCATTTTTTTTTGTTTGTTTGTTTTTGTCAGGGTCTCCCTAGGCCCAGCCTGCCTGGAACTTACTATGTAGACCAGGCTGGCCCCAATCTCACAGAGATCTGCCTGCCACTGCCTCCTGAGTGCTGGGATTAAAGGTGTGTGCCACAGCGTTCTGCTGGATAATCTTAATGATCAACTTTTGCCACTAGCATCTCTACAGTGTACATGCTCCCACTCCTCCTACATGCAGAGACAGGGATAAGAGCAGACAGAGCAAACTGTGCAGAAGCAGATTCTCCTATATTCATGGGGAACACCTTATAGCTAAGAACAGAACAGACCCCCAAGACAGGAAAATTAAACAGTGACAGCACACTTTAAGACTGAAAGTTTCAACAATGTTCATGGCTTCAAAAGAGAAAAACTGAAGTTTGGTAGTAGTTTTTAATTTTCCTTACCTCTGATCTTAAGATTGAATGAATAGCTTCAATTTCTTTTCTCCCAGAATTAGGCAAATCTGCTACAAAAGAAACAGTATATACTGAATATCTGATTAACATCATATGGAGTAATGAACAGTTGTGTTGTTGTGGTGGTGCTGGTGCAAGGGGTTGAATCCAGGGCCTTGTGCTATTGGTCAACTGCCCCACCACTGAGCTATATCCCCAGCCCTAGCCAGGCATCTTCAGGGAAATGTAGTTCACAGCATTTGAACAGCATGAGCTGATGTGAGAGCTCACTGAGAAGACGTATCATTTGATTTTCTTCACAACTTCCCACTGCTACTAACGTTCTTCAGCCTCACACAGGCCATGTTCCTCGCCCATCTCCTATACCTCAGGACATCTGTCTTTGCCCCTTGGAAATAGTCATTAAATTCTGTTGTATGAAATTTAAAGTTTTTGTAAACTTCCTTTAGTTTATGCTGTAATTTTAGATAAAACTTATTCAACCGGGGCTTATAGTTTACGGTCACCTTCCATTTTCAAGAATGTCAAATAATAATCTATTAACAAAGCACAAAAATGTATTAAGAATACTCATTTAAAGTTACACGAACACGGGGCTGGAGAGATGGCTCAGCGGTTAAGAGCACTGGCTGTTCTTCCAGAGAACCTGGGTTCGATTCCCAGCACCCACAGGTCAGCTAACAGCTGTCCACAACTCCAGTTCCAGGAGATCTGACACGCTCCTCTGACCTCTGTGGGCACTGCACATGGGTGCACTAACATACATGCAGGTAATATACTCACACACATAAAATAAGAATAATAAAATAACTCCAGGCATAGTGGCATGAGCCTTTAATCCCAGCCCTTGGGAGGCAGAGGCAAGCAAAGCTCAGTAAGATCAAGGCCAGGCTGGTTCACATAGTGACTTCCAGGCGGGCTGGGACTAAGGAGACCCTGTCAAAAAAAAAAAAAAAAAAAACAACAAAAAACAAAAAAATCCAATGAAATACTGAAAAAAGTAATAGAAACATAATTTATTAAAAATGGGGATAAAAGGACAGCAAGATGGTTCAACAGGTAAAGGAGCTTGTTTCCAAGCCTATCTGAGTTCAATCCCCAAGATCCACATGGTAGGAGAGAACTCTAACCTCCACATGTACCATGCATGTGCTGTGGCACTTACACATGTGAACACACGAACACGAACACACACACACGCATATACACACACACACACACACACACACACACACACACACACCAAATATAATTTTTTTTTAAATGGAGATGAGGGCCAGTGTAACTCAGGGAGTAAAAACACTTACTGTACAAATCTGACCACCTGAGTTCGATCCCCAGAACCCACATGAAAAACCAGATTGCCCAACATGATGGTGCATGCCTTTAATCCCAGCACAGAGGCAGGCAGATCTCTGTGAGTTGGGAGGCCAATCTGAGTTGCAGCCAGAGTTATACAGTAAGGATCCCGTCTCTAAAAAAAAAGCCAGATGGTGGGGCTGGAGAGATGGCTCAGCGGTTTAAGACCACTGGTTGTTCTTGCAGAAGACCCAGGTTCAAATCCTAGCACCCACATGGCAGCTAACAACTGTCCATAACTCCAGTCCCAGGGGATCCGACAGCCTCTTCTGACCTCTGTGGGCATTGCACGGCATGTGTGCACTTACCTACACACAGGCAATACATGCATACACATAAAATAAAATAAATTTTTTTTAAGTTAAAATAAAAAAAAAGCCAGATAGAGTGGCATGGCTCTCATCCGTAAATCCCTCTCAGTGCTCCAATATCACTAATCCCACTCAGCACTCCTATGACTAGATGGGAGACAGAGACAAGAGAAGTAACAGAAGCTACGAGGCTCAGTGACACAAACAAGAGCGATCCCACCTCAAAAAGGTAGGAGAGAACTGACTCCTCAAAAGTTGTCCTCTGACCTACACACATGTGCTGTGACATACATGTGACCCCCCCCAATAAATAAAATAAATCTTTAAAAAACGGGGATGAGCTCATTCTGCTTTTATACATTTTCATTTAAAAGTAGTCGAAGAAGAGGTGGAGAGATGGCTCAGTGGTGAAGAGCACTGGCTGCTTGCCAAAGACCCAAGTTCTGTTCCCAGCACCTACATGGTACCTAACAATAGTCTGTAACTCCAGTTTCAGGAGATCTAGCACCCTTTTCTGGCTCCTGAGAGCACCAGGCACCAACATGAAGCTTAGATACATGTAAGGAAACATTCATACACATAGAAAACAAAAATAAGTAAATCTTTTAAAGTACTCAAAGGACTGGGGCTATAGCTCAGTTGGTACAGTACTTGCCTGGCGTGTGCAAGCCCCTGGCTCAATCCTCAGTATCAAAGAAAGAACAAGTGGATGCGTACTCAAAGCAGTGGTGTGTGTGCGTGTGTGCATGCGTGCGTGTGTGGTGGCACACACCTGTGATCCCAACACTTAAGAGGCTGACCGGCTGGGTTTGAGTTGGAGGTCAGCCTGGACTATAGAGCAAAACCAAGTCTCAAATAAATAAATGGATAAAAATAAAAAATAGCCAGACATGATGGCACATGCCTCAAATCCTAGCACTCAGGAGGCAGAGGCAGGCATATCTCTGTGTTTGAGGCCAGCATGGTTTATATAGCGAGTTCCAGGACAGACAAGGTTACAGAGTGAGACCCGTCTCATAAAAACAAAAAATAATTAGTAAACGTAGTCAGGGTCCAGAACTATTAAATGGTACCATTGATCCTGTCAGAAATCATCATCTGCAGAGTTAACTTCTTTTTCCTTTGTGTATTAGTATTTTGTTGCTGTTGTTATAGCATTTGAACATTATGAAAATAGGGAAGAGATTTAGGTCAATAATGAGCTGCTTGCCTATGCAATGCAAGGCCCTGGACTTCATCCCTAGCACTGAAAAAAGTAAATAAATGGCTTGGGCTAGAGAGATGGCTCAGCAGTCAAGAGCACCTGCTGCTCTTCCAGAAGTCATAAACTTGATTTGCAACACCCACACTGAGTGGCTCCCAACCATCTGTAACTCCAGCTCCAGGGACCCACACGCTCTTCTGGCTTTAGTGGACACACGGAGACACAGACATAAATAAAAATAAATATAAAAAAATTTAATTGAAAGGCCCAAGAGATTTCTTAAAAAAATCACTTTTCTGAACTACAGTTTATTTTTGGAAAAATAAAGTGGTGTGCTTACAAATTACAGCAACACACTTATGAAAATAACCCACTAGGGTTGCTTTTGTGGTTCTTCCTACAGCTAGCTTGAAACTTTTAAAAGGAACCTCTCATTGCTACTCCCAAGAGGATAAAGTAGAATCTGTTTAGGAAAGTAATTGTTAAAAGCAACAATTGTATCAAAAAGACACTTAACAGGGTGAGCAGACCACCTGGGCTACCTCTTCGACTCTGCCTCTTCTGCCCAGTTTAACAGCCACAAAAAAGCCCCCGTCCCAATCTAACCCAAGTTTTGTATGCTAGGTCACTTGCTCCAAAACCCTGCCCTTTAAATAAAGGGGCATTATAACAGCAAGAAAAATAAAAACACTGACTTTCTTAATGAGGGAAAACCTAACACCTAGCCATTTTTTTGCTGCTTACTATTTGCTGGGCACAGTTCTAGACATTTTATACTCATGATTTCATTTATTTTCTCAGTTTTACAATTGATATGCTTATTTTTTTAATTTTTTTAAAATATATTTTATTATTTTTATTTTATGTGTATGAGTGTATTGCATGCATGTATGTGAGTGTACCCGTGTCCTGCAATGCAGCAGATGTCAGAAGAGGGCTTCAGATTCCCCTGGATCTGGAGTTAAGGACGGTTCATAGCCACCATGTGGGTGCTGGGAATTGAACCTGTCCTCTGCAAGAGTAGTCAGTGCTCTTAACCGATGAGCGATATGCTGCTGCTGCTTCTGCTGCTGCTGCTGCTGCTTCTCCTTCTTCTTCTTCTTCTTCTTCTTCTTATTATTATTATTATTATTTGGTCTTTTTGACAGCCCCAGCTGTCCTGGAAGCACTATGTAGACCAGGCTGGCCTTGAACTCACAGAGATCCGCCTGTCTCTGCCTCCCGAGCACTGGGATTAAAGGCATGCGCCACCACGCCCAGCATGCTTATTATTTTTTAACAGATAAGGAAACTGATTTTTTCTTAGAGGTTAAGTTTGTAATAATTTGCCAAAGATTCCACAATTTGTAGTGCATAGAGCTAAAATGAGTACATGTCGACCTAATTTAGAAGCCCAAGTTCTCTGGTAGAATAGCAACCTTGTAATGTAAATATGGATGGTTTTCAAGATGTACCTAAAGTGCTATCTGGGAATTATTTCCTCGTTCATTGCTGGACACTAAATGCTTGGCTCAATTCTATTCTATTTCAATATAATTTACAAAAACAACAAAATAGGTCTGAAGAAAGTCCTATTGTGAGGCAAAGGAAAAATAAAAGCATTAAGCACGCAGACAATTTTTATTGAACATCTTCTGAGAACATACTAAGGAAAACATAGTGCATTGGTAATATTAAGTTAAAAAAATATAACATACTGTTCCCTTCCTGTACATCAATGCAAAGACAAATTATCATTCAACATGGTAAATGCTACCAAGTGTGATACACAAAGTTCTGAAAAATTTAGACCACTGGCAATCAACTCATTCTGCATGCAACTCAGAATGGCTTCACTAAGTCCCTGACACGTGAGCAGGGCTGGACAGAAAAGCTGTATTCCAGGCAAAGAAGAGGGAAGAAGGAAGTAGGTAAAGAAAGGCTTTCCAAGCAACGACTTGGAGTGACGGAAAAACCCGAGCAAGTTTTCTGTGACAGGCTGCACGTGTGCATCAATACAGTACCTACGGCAACTAAAAAAAAGAGGGGACAGACAGGTCTTTGACCTCCCCAAACAAAGAGGTTTGGATTTTTTCTGTAAATCAATAAATTTTTAAGCAAATTTGTTTTGAGAAACTGGCAATACAACAGAAAATGGAGTAACAAAGAACTGTATCTGAAAGAAGGGTCTGACTAAGCAGGAGTTATATAGGAAAAGAACAATTCTGACACAGGACTTGTTGCCTAAATTGAAGTAGAGGCACAAAAAGACACAAAACAAAGATGACAAGGATTTCTAGTTCACGAAAATGAGTAGATAGACAGATCAACTATCAAGATGGAGACTAAGGCCAGGCTTGCTAGCATAGGTCTTTAATTCTAGCTAGCACTTAGGAGGCAGAGGCAGAGGCAGAGGCAGAGGCAGGTGGATCTCTAAGTTCAAGGTCAGTCTGGTCTATGTAACAAATTCCAGGCCAGTCAGGACTACAAAGTTAGACTCTGTCTCAAAAAAAAAAGAAAAGAAAAAAAGATTGAGACTATAAGGGTTGAGGCAGCAGGCCTGCCATAAGTTTTAGGCCAATCTGAGCTACATACCAAGTTACTACAGAATAAGACCCTGTTTCAAAAACAAAACAGAACAACAACAAATCAGTTTTTTTTGAGACCACAGGAACTCTACCATACACCTACAAGGCATGCAGGTTGGGGTGCATATTTTCTAGTTTAAGATCAAACGGATAGCCAACTGCTATTCTCTCTCTAGGATACAATGGAAATCTAGTCTTTCCCATAGCTAACAGTCCTTTTCTTCTCCCACTGCTTTCAAAGTCCCTCCACCCTTTTCTGGACACATTGAAGTTGGTATTTTATTCTCACTGTCTGGACTCACGCTTCTTCCATTCAAGGGAGTCCCAAGCAGTAAATGAGTTTTGGCAGCTACCTAATCTTCCTTCCTTCTAAAGTAAGGACTTTTTCTATCAAACTATTTTACTCTATTTCCACAAATAAACATGAAGGCTATTAAACCATATGGAAAAAGTCAAGGGGTTAGAAATGGAGTTCAGTGGAAGGTGTGCTTAGCATTCATGAGCCCTTAGGGACAATCTCTAGCAATTCCTTCTCACAGATTAAACTAGGGCAAGTAATTTGCTGATTTATAAAGAAAACTACCATGGCAGCGCACACATGTAATCCCAGGACTGGGAGGCTGAGGTAGGAAGACTATCAGTTCCAGTCCATCCTGGGCTAGCTGCAGGCCAGGCTAAGCAATATTAGCAGACCTTGATTGAAACTTTTTAAAATCCTACCTGTTGAAATAAATATCAAGAAATCAAAATAGTAATTAACCTGACCACTGATTACAATGTAATTCTAGGTCACTATTCCTTAGGAAAGCAATGGTGACTTCAAAGGAGTGAAAGAGGCTGGCTGGCTCAGTGAGTAAAGGCACTTGCCATACAAGCCTGGCAACTGAAGTTAGATCCCTGGAGCTCACTTAAGGGTGGAAAGAGAACCCACTCCACAAGTTATCCTCTGACCTCCCCACGCCTGCCCAAGCACACACACACCATGCATATACCCACACAACAGTAACTTTAAAAAAAAAGTGGAGGTTGTTAGGGACACTCAAAAGATAAAATATTTCCCTGGTTCTGTCAAAATAGGGGATGAATGTGCAATCTTACACGAAAATACATTTCCGCTGCAATGCGTCCTTATAATGAACAAAAAATATAAAATAACTGAATAGAAAATTAGTCATGTTTCACAGACAACGTGCTCAAGACAGGGGAAGAGAGTCACCAAATGATTTAATGATGAGTTATTAACCTGTTACAAAGCATTAGAAAACAAAAAAAAGTGACTGTCCCACTTTGAGCTGTCAAAAATAAAAGACGTTCAAAGCATACCTGCCCCCAAACTAAGCGCAAACTATATAGTGGGCATTGTCGGACCGGGTAAATAAATAAATGATTCTATTCAACGTAGTAGCAGCTGTTTCTCTCTAGTCTGAGATACTCAGAATATTCCCGGAAGGAGGGGAGAGGACTAGAGCTCTTCCAGGCGGTCTTTCATCATTGAAAATCCAGGGAGGCAAAAGGATGCAAACGGACAGGGCGGGTGGTCCTGCACTACCCGTCCGCGTCGCTGAGGTCGAGAGTGGGGACCCAACCCACGTCCCCGGGCCCGCGCGGAGCCTCCCCCGCTCCAGCTGTTACCTTCCACCTCCTCCGCGCCCTCCATCAGCATATCCTTCGTGAAGTTGGAGATCTGGCCAGTGAGGGAAGCCAGACTGCCCCCCACCTGACCCAGAGACTGGCCCAAGCCGGAGCCGAGGCCACCGAGCCAGGACGACATCGCGGCGGGGATGGAGCACGACCGGCGTCCGTGGCCCTGCGGACGGCTCTTCCGAACGTCCTTGAGGCCGCGGCTGGTGCGGATCCCGCCACCGCCGAGCAGCAGGACTTCGGGCGGCCGCCAACCGCCGCGGTGGACAAGGCCCGGCCAGGGGCTTCACCCGAGGCTCACCGCTGCGCACACCGTCGCCCTCAACGGGCCTCTGCTCATCGCCACCACTTCCTGCCGTCCGGTTGGGCCACTTCTTCCTCGGCTTTAGCGCCTTTCCTCAGTTCCGTGAGCCAATCCTGCCAACTCAACGCCCGCCGCCATGACACCGCCGGAAAGCGGCCGCGACCATAGAGAGGCTCCGCGGCTGCCTAGAAGAGCCCCCAGGCGCCGTGGGACGCCAAGGACGGTGGGATGGGGGAGGACCGAGCCGCGGCTGGCCCGACCTGCGGCTTCCACGTAACCTTCGGGAGGTGGAGCCCTAACAAGCAGAAGCGCCAGCGCATTCTCCTGAAGCTGGCGTGGCCTGTCCTTAATCCAGTCTACACTCGCGAGGCCGGGAGAATGACACGGTCATCCCATCGCCAAGGGCAGCGGCTTCCAATAACCCATCCACGTTACTCTGGTTGTCCAGCCACTGCGTGACTGCAGTACGCTGGGCGCTGCGGTAGAAACTGAGGCTTAAAAACAAAACAAAACAAGCTGCAAAAGAGGAGGCTGCAAATTCAAGTGGAAGTCCCCCCTTTTTTTTTGAACCATTGACTGTATAGAAGACATTTCTTCCAGTGACTTTCCAGGTCACATTTGAAACTCTCTGCCTTCTTTTACATACCACGTGCAATATTTATTCATGAAGATGACTTTCAGAAATTGTAGAAGACAACTCTTTGCCAAAAAAACTTGAGAGAAGACAGCAAGGGTAATTTAGTAGAGATGAACTGGATATAAACAATCCTGTGATACTGGTGGCACCAGCTGAGCGCCTCTCTCTTCTCTCTCTCTCTCTCTCTCTCTCTCTCTCTCTCTCTCTCTCTCTCACACACACACACACACACACACACACACACACACACACACCCGACTCTATTCTTTTCTAGTGGAAAAAGTAAGGTGATTACTTACTTGAGTTTCAACCAATGGATGCCCTAGTAACACCCAGCACCTGACCAGGAAGATTACCCTGATTTTGTTTTGAAAAGGTTATGTCAACTGCAGTTGTTTTAGGCATGGTGCTAAATAGAGTGGCATGTCTCGCATTTATTTTATTCATGGGCAGAGATACCACAGTTTGCTCTGTATGGGAAGGAACACCGAAGAACACTTCCAGTATGTGGAATCTGATGACCCCATACTAAACTAGCGCTCCCTGAAATCTGATATAAGCTATAAGCAGATACTGGTGTTTGATGGGCGCCTTCAAGCGGTTTAAAGTTCTTGAGTCCCAGAACAAGGAATTGGACAGAGGTTCCTGAATAACAGCAAACAAAGCAAAAGGATTTATCAAGAAAGGATACACTGGACTGGAGAGAAGGCTCAGGGGTTTAAGAGCACTGGCTGCTCTTGGCAGAAAACCAAGGTTTAGTTCCCAATTTTAAAATGTTTAAAAAAAAAAAAAGGGCGGGGGGCGTGTTGGAGAGATGGCTCAGTGGTTAAGAGCACTGACTGCTCTTACAGAGGACCCGGGTTCGATTCCCAGCACCCATATGGTGGCAAGGAACCTTCCTTAACTCCAGTTCCAGGGGAATCCGAAGCCCTCTTCTGACCTCCACGGCATTGCATGACACAGGTGCACTTGCATACATGCAGGCAATACACTCATAGACACAAAATTAAAATAATTAAATATTTTTTAATTTTTTTAAAAAAGTGTTCCAAATTAAATTTTTTTTTAAATCTAAGGACACACTTCTAAGTAAGGGAAATAATTACAAAGAATTAAAATCTTTTTCATTAAAAAATTATTTCTATGTATTGCCTACATGTATGTAAGTGCACCTGTGTTGTGCAGTACCCATGGAGGTCTGAAGAGGGTTCACCTGTAACTGGAGTTATGGGTGGTTGTTAGCCACTATGTAGGTGCTGGGAACTGGTGCTGAACCTGGGTCCTCTGCAAGAGCAGCCTCTTAACCTCTGAACCACCTTTCCAGCCCCTCAAATCTTTTCTATCAAAAGGATGATCACAAGAATGTAATCCTATGGTGCTATTTTGTAATCCCCCTCCACCTTATAAAACTTGTTTGGGGGGCCAGGTGTGGTGACGTACACCAGCCTCTTCTGTCCTCTGAGGGCATTGCACACATAGGTGCACTTACCTATGCAGGCAATACACGCATACACATAAAAAATAAAAATAAAATAATTTTTTAAAAGACCAAAAATAGCCACTGCAAAAGACTATAAGATCAGACCAGAGCCAATGGGGAAAAGACACAGTATTCTTTCATTAAGATAAAAACCTATCAAACTTTCGGCTCTGTGTGCTTGCCTGATCCCAATGATGCATTGCACCCTTTTATAATAAAAGCTGCCACTGGGCATGGTGGCCCACACCTTTAATCTCAGCACTCAAGAGGCAGAGGCAGGTGGATCTCTGTGAATTCAGAGTTCCAGGTATCGTCCTCTTTTTTTTTTTTTTTTAAAAAAAAAAAAAAAAAAAAAAAAAAAAAAAAAAAAAAGGTAAAAGCTGCCTTGCCTAATTACTTTTGCTTTGTTCCCAGGTATTTTGTGCACAGATTTTTATTTCTATTTTAATTTTGTTAATATTTTATCATTTTTATTTTATGTGCATCAGTATATTGCCTGCATGTATGTAATTGCACCCATGTCATGCAATGCCCAAGAACGTTAGTTGTCACCTTAACACCCCTGGAAAGAGGGAACCTCAGTTGGGGAATTTCCTCAACCAGATGGGTCTGTGGGCTTGTCTATGAGGCATTTTCTTGATTATTGAGTGATGTGGGAGGGCACAGTCCACTGTGGGTGGTGCCACCCCAGGCAGATGGTCCTGGGTTGTATAAGAAAGCAGGCTGGGCATAGGCCAGAGGAGCAAGCCAGTAAGCAGCGTTCCTCCATGGTCTGTGCTTCAGCTCCTGCCTCCAGGTTCTTGCCCTGAGCTCCTGCTCTGACTTCCCTTGGACAGTGCCTTGGAAGTGTAAGATGAAATAAACCCTTTCCTCTGCAAGTTGCCTTTGGTCAATATTTTATCACAGCAATGGAAACCGAACTAGAACAGTAACTCAGGCTAGCCTTGAACACATGAGCCTTCTGTTTCAACTTCAGAGTGCTGGAAATACAGGTATGTACCATCATGCCCAGCATGTTTTTTAGAATGTTACATACAATAGTCCTCAAATTATTAATGTGTCTACTGTTATTCCAGACACTAGGATGCAGCAGCAGAAGAAAAACAATCATTGATCTTATAAAGATTGTACCTTAATGGGAAGGCACACATAATAACACGTAATGTGTCAAACAGATGATGACTGATACTAAGGGGGAAAAATATAACGGTAAAGATGCCTCACCTCCCTCTGCTTCCCTGGGCCTGCACTACCAGCCACAGGCCTCTCTCCTACCTGCAGGCCTTTCTCCGGGGTAAGTCCATTGCGCCCTCCACGCCTTGACTACCCCAGCCTCATTCACTCTCCCATCTCCCCTGCCAGTCTCTCCTAGTTTGGGTCCTGTCCCGTTCCTTGTCTTGGGGCTCCAGACACCTGGGGAACCAATACTGCTTCCTGATCCTTTTCATCCAGACCAACTTAGTGCCTTCTCTGGGTGCCAGGAGCACTGCTTCTGGACCTGGCCACGCCCTCACCTCCCTCTGCTTCCCAGGGCCTGCACCACCCACCAGCCTTTTTCTGGGACTCAGGAGCTGACATTTTCTCTTCCTGATCCTTTGCATCCAGACCAACACAGCTCCTCAATGCAGTCCCCAGGAGTCCTTGGGGCCTCTTCCCACCCCATTTGCCTTTGCATCTCTGGATGGCACAGCCACCAGCTCCCCTAGACCAGCATCTTTCCTAGAACAGGCTCCCAGGCCAGTCCAACCTCAAATTCCTGAGGCAAAAATCATTCCTGGAGGGATCCAGACCTTAGGAGAAAGCCTGAAACCTCAGCTCCTCAATGCAGTCCCCAGGAGTCCTTGGGGCCTCTTCCCACCCCATTTGCCTTTGCATCTCTGGATGGCACAGCCACCAGCTCCCCTAGACCAGCATCTTTCCTAGAACAGGCTCCCAGGCCAGTCCAACCTCAAATTCCTGAGGCAAAAATCATTCCTGGAGGGATCCAGACCTTAGGAGAAAGCCTGAAACCTTCTGACCCTCATCTGAATTGGGCATCTGTGGGAACTCCTGAAGACAAAAGCAATCTGGCCACTCC